TTTTTGTTGTGATTCTAATTAATTATTATTCTATGGTCTATTCCAAATAAATAAGTCTGGAAAAAATCGAGCATGCTGGTCCGCTGTGATTGGCTCAGATTCGGCACGCGTCGTGATCGGTCGGCGGCCGGACCTCACCGCCGTTAGTACGCGGAGTACGTTGTCAAAAGGTCGTAGGCAAGCGAAGTGGTGATTGTTTAGAAACTACAGTCGGGCTGTATACCAGCGGTTCTCAACCTTTTTGAGTTTGCGATCCCCTATAATGTTACCAATATGTCTAACGACCCTTTTTTAATTTATGCATTGAAAATTATACAAACTGTTATTATTGTATTTAATTATGTATACATTTTACAAAAAAAAAAGATATATTATAAAAGTTGATTAGCGTAAATTAATAGAAAAAAACAATAAAAATGATGTAAATTTTAATATTTTTCTAAATGTTATGACTTTTGCTGTTGTTGATTTGAAATTTTTTTTTTCACATGATGTGACCCTAAAAAAATTGTTGGCGACTCCCTCGATTGAGAATCGCTGCTGTATACAACCGAATCGTCGACAACAGCGCTCACCACCGGCAGATCATGTGACATACCTGCGCGAAACCGAACGCATTTTCGTCGAACATTTTCCCAGACTTATTTGGAATAGACTATACAATAAATGATTTTCTTCGAAAGGAAAGTTAAATGTAGACATACATCCGTTTATTGGACACGAATTCATATTTCATCGTTAGGTTTAAACAAGTTAGTAAACGGAATAGGTATATGAAAAATCGTATTTGTTTATTTTTTTGATTCTTTAGTAATTTGAAACAAAATATTGCATTCAGGCATTCTACCTGAATCCTAACTGTTTAAAAATGATTTTAATAATTATATAAAAAGCAAATTTATAAATCCGGATACTTCAGAAAATCCAAATAAGAATTTGATTCAAATCCGGATTTGAATATCCAGATATTCGGATTTCATGCCCATATTGAACTGATCAGATCAAAGACGACATATATAAACAAGACACAATTTAGAAAAGCAATCCCTTCGCGAGAACGATTAGGAGTTTGTCTAATGCAAGCATTTAAATTTATAATTAAAATAACACAGCTTTTAAGACAGTTCATTTAATATTATAGAAAAAAATGTTAATTATATAATGTATTGATAAAAAAATATTTTTTATTAATAATTATTAGAAATATTCTATGATATGCATAACTCACATTTAACATTTCCCCGAGTGTGAATTTGTAGTGAAATTAAAATTCTTCAAGTTATATTGTTAAATAATGAGATGATGTAGCTACTTCAGATGGAATAGGAGAAGTAATAGGCTGAGAAACTGCTTGAATACTCGTATTTCTAACTTCTGCTTGTAGGACACAATTACTTAATAATAATTTAATGTTAGCCTGTTCTTCTTTTGGTAATAGTTTTGTCATTTTAGACATACTTAAAAAAAATATATCAGTTTCGTCCATGTTTTCAAATATAGTAGGAACTTTTGGTCTAATGATCTTTTCTTCATGTTTCATTTCTCTTAAAGCTGTATTTTCTTTTATTATCTTCAACATTTGAAGTGTCGAATTATTATTACTGTTAATTATTTTGTTTCTTTTAAGGTTATTTACCGGTGCTTCAGCTATTTCAAAATGTTTTATTTTGCCTGTCCCAGATGTATTGTAGTTTTGTATATCCTGAGCCAGATTTTCTATTCCATCTACACTTTCTTTTTCTATTAAGATTATTTCAGTTTCATTATTTGTACTTTGATAACTATCTTCATTTATGTAATGCGTTTTATCATTTAAATCGATATTTACATTTCTATCGTGTTTTTCATTTACGATTGCATTATTCAAATTACTTATAGCCCTAAATGAAGAATTCAAATTATATCAAATAACTTTACGAAAAATAAATTTTTTTTTTTGTACATACTTTCTGTTTTCGAAGTATGGTAAAAGAAAAGACATTTGATTTTCAAATTTCCATGGAATCATTTTTTTAGCTGCCTGTCCATTTTTCTTATCACGACGTCTATTTATTGCGTTACAAAAACATCGTCTCAATTTATCCCATAGATCTTTTGCTTTTTCTCCTAAAAATATAAATTTAAATTATTCAAACTTATGTTATATATATATATATAAAAGTCGTAGAAATGTATGACACTATATGAAGAAGATTAGGACTCATTGTCATCCCTCAACTCACAGACATTTTATAGAAACGTGTCGCAGAAAAATATGATTGCGTTATGGAATTTTCCCAATTGCATCAAAATATAATATTCAATCTCGGGACTATTTTATTTAATTATAAAGGCTACTATTCAATAGTTCTATTAGCACTTATTGATGTTGACTATAAATTTACAGTAAATAACGTAGGTTCTTATAAGAGAAACAACGATGGTGGCATTTTTTTGATATTTATTGAAATTAATCATTAGAAAAATGTTATAAAATAAAACATTATATGTGCCGGATGTTCCCTCAGTTACGAATAAAATTCTACAGCTATACATTATACTCTATGATAAAACATTTTCTCTTAAACAATGTTTACTTTGTTTCAGTCTTTGTAAAACACACGTAAAATAATTACACGAATTACCGACTTTTTTGAGTTCGTTTAACGTTAATTTGATATAAAAAAAAATTATAATAGAGTAACTAATAACAATAGTAATAAATAATAAATTTACATATATGTAATGTGAATTACTTAACATTTTTTACTAATCACTCCTCGACACGGTCTTGGAAAATAAAATTCACTATTTAAAGGAGCACACAACACGCAACAACAAAAATGTTTTTTTTTTTTTTATTTGAAAGAATGTTCAATTTTAAGAATAATGGTATAGGTTTTACGTTTCTACTCACATTATTCAATAAGTAATGAGCAATTGAAAAAAGACGCGTGACGTCATTGGTATCTACTCATCATAATTGCCAATCTTATACGTGTAAAAATTCCTCACTTCACACAACGATTTACTAACCTAAATATTTTATTTTTGAAATTTAATTTGCGTATAAATGTATGGCTTTGTGTGTTTAAAGCCGGTGATACACGATGCGTCAAACGTTGGCTCCAACATTGGCTAAACATTGGAGCCAATGTTTGACTAACGGATGCAGCTACACGTTGTAACCAACGTTGGGTTGAGTGTCATGTGAATGTTGAATGCAGTATACTCCCTAAAGTGTATCTGTGTAGTGTGTATAAAAATATAACCTGTGAATATATTCAGACTTTAAGTTAAAACTTCAAAAAGTTAAATAGAAAAAATATGGATGACGTGGTTGCAGTTGCTGCTACTGTAATTGTGCTACCTTGTAGTCAATTATTATTAATAGCGAAAAACAGAAAAAAAGACGTGTAAGGAGATGGTGGATAACGTCGTTCAACAGAAGTAGAGAACGGTAAAATACCATGTGCTGGTTGCAACTTGCTTCCAACGTTGGATACTCCTTTGACGGGGGTCAAAAATACCGACTTTCGGCGGCAATCATTCCATGCCAACGTTGGACCCAAACATTTGTCACTGGACATATGCATTACGGCTACACGATGTGGCGAATGATCGTATGGCCATCGTTTGAAGGTATTGGACACATCGTGTAGCACCGGCTTAAAATGATGCAAGTATCAAAATTTCAATATAACGTTTAGTTTTTCAAATATATATATATATAAATGTGAGTGTAGTGTGTAAAATACGTAGAATTAGATTAGATAGTGGCAACTTACATGACGCGCCGTTAACAAAATTGTCTCTTTTAAGATTTTTAATATTTGAAAAACTAAACGTCATATTGAAATTCTGATACTTGCATCGTCTCAAACACATAAAATCATACTAATTAAATTTCAAAAATAAAATGTTTAAGTTGGTAAATCGTTGTGTGGAGAGAGCAACTTTTACACGTAAGATACATAAGATAGGCAATTACGATAAGTTAAATAACAGTATATATGTTCATGAGCAAGGCTCGGGACTTATAGCACTTTAAATCATTAAAATAAGCGCTTAAAAATATCATTATAAGCACTAAAATAAGCATTTAAAAAATATAAAATTAAGCAAAAATATTTATTTAAAAAAAAAAAAAAAAAAAATCAAACAAAATAAAAATAAATCCAAACTTTTAAGACTTTAAGGATTTAATGGATTTCCTAAGGGATTTTTCTGAAAAATAAAATGTATACTATTCTCTCTGTTCTTGATCATTCTGACGTTTGACATAGTTCTATTTTCAACGTTGGAATATTTTTGTTAACCATAAAACGATGCCTTGGACGATAAGATAAGATAAGAATTATTTTTAAATTGTAATTCTATCAAAAACGATTTTGCAGGAAAAAACTATAAAAACGTAAAAAAAACTGGTCAAATAAACAAAAATAATCAGAAAAACTGGAAATAAGCATTTTTTTTTAAAAATTGCTGAAAAAAGCAAAAAAAGGCACTTTCAAATTTTATAATTGTACACGTTATAATTTGACATACACTTCTATAGCACTCTACTATATTTTAAATAAATCCATAAAAATAAGTAAACGCCTTAACTTCCGAACTCTGTTCATGAGTTAGATATTATTAGTATAAAATGAATCTATATAAAACTGAGATAAAAAATTCCGTGAAGTTGGTTAGTCCTATTGACTTTAAATCTTCATCAATATTTTGAAATTAATATGGAACTATTTGGAACCAGGTTTTCAAAATTTGGAACGTCACCCTTTTCCTGGAAAAAAGTTTTTCAGTTAAAGGCAATGTGTGAGGGGGGACAACTTCACGGACATAGATAAAAATAGACAATACATATCTGCAGTGCGTTAGCAACCAAATATTATGCTCAGGGTGAACTTCAAAATGCAACCTTATGCATTTTTAATTAAAAGATATTATAATTATTATATATTATTTTCAACAATTACTTCAATTAATATAAAAAACGTTGAAGTTCTTGGAAATAAAATAGGTTACAAAATCCATTGTTGTAATTTTTAAAGTAAAATGCAAATTTTTCATTTTTGCACCCCTCCAGGAATTGTGTCCGAGGAGTAAGCACCTCTCGCTCCCATCTTGCTACGGCTCTGCCTATGTGTCGATCGTGAGAATATTGTCAACTATGCGTTGTTTTTGTTGTAGATATCATATTTTCATACATTACGCAAAATTCATTCATTCATCAAAATCATTTAAAGTATAAAACTAGAAAAAACTTCACAAACGTAATTTATTTTTAAATTATAAGTGTAACTACTAACCTTGTATATGTAATTCCTTGCCGATTTCTTCCCATGCTTTCTGTCGGACACATTTGTCTCTATAGCTGGCCATTTCATAATTGAATAAAACTTCGTGAAGTCTCACTAGTTCTATTAATTTTTCTTCCATATTTATTAAAAACTAAACTGATTTTACATAAGTTTCAATTTTCACAAAGTAAAAATTCTAAATTGGAATAAAATGTGATATCACGTGAGACACAATGAAATAATACAATATCACGTGAGTGGGGGTCAATAGTTATCAATATATACATGTAGTGTATAATCAATGGTCTCTCAGATGTGACGTGATATGACGCGAGCTTATGTGAGGTTATGCTCCCGTATCCGCTTATTATTGCAACGAGATTGTTTACATTATATAGTATATCAAATATTATTATATTATTTATATTATATAATATATACGATTTATAGTGCAATAACAATGATACTTATACTCTACTTTAATCATAAGGAGTGTTTACACTCAGCCAAGTCAGTACACGGTTAACTTAAGCAAACCATTAAATTGTATTAACTTTAATCATGTGGACACTAGATTAATATTAGATTTAGTAAACATTTTAGTCGAGTAAACAAACACTGACTCGCTTTTTAGTGGCCAAGTGTAGACTAAACTAACTTCAATAAAATCACAAGTGATAAGAATATTTGGAGTTATCATATTATCAATTTATATTTTATCTTGTTTTCAACAAAACTTTTTACAGTTAAGTAAAGTAAGTTCTACAGTTAAATATTTCTATAAAACCAAAAGTAATAAAAAGTAATTTTTAAATACTTTTTAAAATGATTTATTTTGTCAAAATGGCAAATAAATAAAATGAGTAAAAAATAACAGGAATCACGAATGTCTCTGAAATGTCAATAACCCAATAGACAAAAATAGTGTCACGAAAGTGCACATATGGTATATTTTTTTAACCAACATTTTTCATTCGTTAATTTTTAGACTAGATTTAAAATAAAAATTATAAAGTAATATATTCTTTTGGAGATATTTTTATCTGGTGTATTAAAGTTTAACAAAACGGATTAATTTGTGCCGCTACCTCTTATTGTGTGTTAAATCGTCACAACAAACTTTATACTTGTGTATAATAAATACCATAACAACAAATATGGATAAAACATTAACGCATCCATAGGCGTGCGCTGACCTGTATTTCAGGGGTGCCTATAATACTTTCGGGCCCAATCTTAACAAAACATGTAAAAATATATTTAATAAATTATAATGTATAAATATTTAAATAAACATAACTTTATTTTTTTATTTAATATAATATTTATGTATATGTAATAATTAATTAATATTTATGTATAATATAATATAATATTTATGTACGATATTTATAAGTCCCAATGAATGAGTTTTACTTGAGTCTTACATATTTTCTTCAATTATTAATGATTTGTACTTTTGCAGTCAATTGTAGATGTTATATTTCATAAAAAGTTTTTGCACAAAAGTTTAGAAAATCTTTTTTTGTTTTTTCTATTAAGAAATATTATTTATTTTTTACTAAATATTTTAGAATAAAATAAATTAAATTTCACCAACATAAATTAAAATATAGACCTCTTATTCTTAGACCTAAGTTGTAGGGTCCCATTTACAATATTTCGGGGGGAGGGGATATCCTGCATAGTTTGCATACCTATGGGCGCAACACGAACGGTACTAATCGAATGAGAAATACTCATGGAAACACATTTGTTAAAATAGTTAAAAATATCAACTATAGCCTAATAGTAAATATATATACGTTCCAACAATAGTTCAATGTTGTAAGTAGGTAGCTTAAAGTATTATCAAAACCACATAAAGTTAGACTAAACATATTTTTTTCATCCCAACCATTCAAATTACGATAATAATGTATAGTCGAAACGTCTCAATTGTTTTTAATTCTATTGCAATTGGTGTACATAATCATTCGAACACTGACGGTAATCAAATCTGCATGAACATGCAATAACATTTTGCAGCATACATTTAAAATGAAAATAAACGCAAGTCGGTATCAATCGCAACAATGGCGTGACAATCATATGTCAAACCCTAAGCAAAATATTTCATCAATTTATTTATTTATTTATAATTAAAATAAAATATGTTAATAAATGCATGAACCAATATCTTTCGATAGAATTTTGTATCGGACAAATGTCGTTTACCATTGTGTAGATCGCGAACCGCATAGAGGTCGTTGGACAATTCTAGAACACCAAACACCGCCTTTAACATCACCGCGCATTCTAGAACGTTCTCGAACGTGTTATCGGTATATAACAGACCGACGCATCAACGGTCGTCACAGTTGATTTTTGGCGCTTGTAGATTTACCATACGAGTTCTTCGTTGCTAACCCTTTTCGGTTAATTGCAGTTCTGAATTTTCTTATTAATTTTCAAGTTTCCAGTGATTTGTGTCGTCACCCAAAGTACTCTGGTTTGATATTTTAGATTCGTCGTGGTGCCGATCTGAAGATACAAGGTATTGTACCGTAAATTGTAATATTTTTAATATGTAATTTATCCGTTATGGACAATTTGTTAATTATCCACTACTACAACTGTGAAAATTTATTCAGACGTAGGCTCAGCAATTGGCAAATGATATTTGTACTTAAACAACGTGTGATGTGAAGGAATTTTGCTACTTTTAAGCGCGAGTGATATTCTAGAATTCCTTTTTTCACTCTTGTATTATTTAAAAATAATTCTTTGTATTTTATATTTTATGTGTTGAATTTTCTAATCCTTAAATAAAGGTTCTTACTTTTCTTATAGTTCATAATTTTCAGTTATCAATTCTTGTGGATTACTTTAATAATAACTATTTTCTAGTTCAACAGTTTGAATTATTAGTATTATAATTAAAATTTTCTTAAGAGGTTGCAGGAGATACAAGATTAATTCATTGTAATAATAAATTGTAATAATAATTCATTGTAAAAAAAGTACATATATAGTATTAGTGGGTTCTTGTTTTTTAACTTAATATTAAATCTGTCTTATTGCAGATGTCCATTTTACCATTTTTATTGGATGAACTAGCAAGACCAACCATTTATGATCAACATTTTGGTCTGAATTTATTGGACGATGATTTGTTACATCCTCAACGTTTGCACCATAGATACAACCAATCTCCGTCCCTTATGATGTTTCAAAGACCTTATCGTCCAACTTCTGCATCTCAAGGCTTATCACATATACAAAATGACAAAAACAATTTCAAAGTAAATTTGGATGTACAACAGTTCAAGCCAGATGAAGTATCTGTAAAGGTTGTAGATGGTTTTGTAGTAATAGATGCCAAACATGAGGAGCGAAGTGATGAACATGGTTTCATTTCACGTCAGTTTACCAGACGTTACAAGATTCCAGACAATGTTGATTCAGATGCTATTGTATCTACATTGTCTTCAGATGGTGTACTGAGTATTGGAGCTCCCAAAAAGGTATAATTACTGTTTACATGCTTATAATCGTGTATATCTTGATTATACCAATATATATTCATTTCATTATTGTTAATTTTTATTATTCAGGTGCCTAAAAATGCTGCTGGTGAAATACCAATTCAGATAGTCCAGACAAACCAACCAAGTATCAAACAATCTCAGAGTAAAGAAAATAATGAGAAAATGGACACAAACCACTAGTGTGTAACTCTTGGTTGTACATGTAACATTAACTATATGGTCATATAAATGAAAAATGCAATTGTTCTCAAGTCTTTTTTTTTTTTTCTTAAATATAAAGACTGTTTTTTTTTTAGAATGTATAATTAAATGTTCCTTTCATATTAATAAGTAATTTTTAATGTGTCATTTAAAGTCATAAGCATACATTTATTTAAAATACAGTTATTTACTTTATGTTATTGTTTTTATTTGTTAATTTTTAAAGATTAACAATTTTTACTAAGACATTATTGATACACTTAATTAGTGGCGTACATTCAATCTTGCTCTGGAGGGGGGGCTTTAACAAGAATAATTTTTTTTTTGTTGCACAGATTTATAAGATATAACTGCTATACATAGATATAATTTTATACAACTTTTACCAATTTACAGTTTACCATAATAAATTAATAGTTATTGGAATATAAAAACAGCATAGTTTACAAAACTTCAAACACCTATCAATAATATTATTTAATTATCATTATTGATATAGTTGTATATTTGAAATTCAAAACTTAATAATGAAACTGAATATATTACGCATAATCAAAATAAAACAATATTCTTTTTTTTTTTTTATTGGCCTTGGGGTGGGTTTGAATCCAGACCCCTCTCCTCATGTGTATGCACTGCACATAATTGTATGTTAAAAGCTGATGTTCCTAGAAACAGTGATGATTCAAATGCCTCTGATATAAAGGTAAAATAAATTATAAATTCTGTATGTAATTAATTAATGGTCAGTTTTAATTTAAAAAAATAATAAATAAAATAATTTTAAGTGGACCCAAACTTAGGTATACAAATTATGCATAAAATCATAAACGTAACTACTATAAAGAGAAAATTAAAACAATAATAGATAATTATTTATTAAATAAAATTATCTACTTGCAAAATTACAACTATTCTAATATTTTCAAACATATAAAAGTTGAAAATCAAGTAAAACTAAAATTGTAAAGGTTATGAATGAGGAGAGCAAAATAATTTACTGTTGAAGTATTAGGCCTAAACGCTCGACTACTCCTAATTGTGCCCGCGCTGAATCTCTCAATGAAAATATGTGTAGCAATTCCTTTTCTGATTTAGCCAGGTGTATAGCTTTTTCTAAACACTTCACAGCTTCATTTAATTTTCCTCTGAAAAATCATAATAAAATAAGTACAAATTTCTCATATAAAAAATATGAGTCATTAGTTAGGAATTTTACTAACTAGAATTATTAAAGATATAATTTATAAGATATAAAGATATAATTTTTGTGCGAGTGAAATTGTTCTACTAAAATACCTACCAACCAATTGTTTATTTAACTAATTAAAGCAATGTCTTTGAAACTTTATTGTAATGTACAACTCTTAGATAATAGTAAAATTGTTATGGTGCCATAAGTTATAAGGGAAAGATATTTTTATTACCATCAAAATCAGAAAAACTGTAGGAAAATGTTTGTACTATACTATATACTAAAATTAAAATATCGTAAAAAATATTTTACAGTATTTCTATACTAGAAAAATGGTCTAGAAGTATTGAATCAACATATAAATTACGATTGTAAAATAATAATAATAATTTAATGAACATTATACTCAAAATAATAAAAAGCATATAGAATTTAAAATTTTTTTAGTTAAAATACTAAAAAATAATAATGTTTTTACAACAAATATTTTGTTACTAGTTTTAAGATACATGTAAATTCTTTTTTGACTATTGTAGTTATCAGTAATTTATTTACAATTATTATAAATAATGAAATATATAGGATAAATTAGTATTCGAATTAATTATTAAAATTTTTTATGAAAATTTAAAATCAATAATGTTTGTATAAATTATCAAATTATAGTTTAAAAAATGATGATAGTAAATTTTTCAAAATTCTAGTAGACAAATCTACAATTATGTAAAACAAACATACTACAGAAATCGTTTGATAATTTAATAACTCCATAAATTGAACTAAACATTTGGTTAATTTCAGCCACCTCAATAATTCAAAATTTCTTTCACTGGGAGTTCATTAATTTTTTTTTTTTTGCCAGAACCTATACAGTTAGAATATTTTTTAAATACAATAATACAAAGATGATGCACAAATCATCACAATTTGTTCCAGAATGTGTGGTTTTATTAAGGATGAACAGAACATAAGTAGAGATATTTTTATACAAAGTGAGGAGATTGAGGGTCTGCTCAGCACATGGAACAGATTTGAAGTTACTGTATTATTTGAAGAATTTGTTCATTTTGATGATAATGTCGCAACTGGTGGTAATTTTACCAATGAGGAAATTATACAATCTACTACGGCCAATCAGCATTTTTTTACGTTCCTATCATATTGTTGGGATTGTGTACATTTTTAATTAATGTGAATGGACAGAGAAAGAGACAATATCATTATTTTCAATGCTATCAGTTAGTTAGATAATGCTATGAACCAGATTTTGGCTAACAATTTATTATAAAAAAAAAAAATATTATATGTATAATTAATAAAAGTCAAATTAAATGTAATACATTTTTAACATCTCTTTAAAAAAAATTATTTATTTTCCTCCCTTGATTTTCGAACACTCATTTCAACCAAAGTCTCTATAAATCAAATTATCAGTTTGGTCCTCTGAATTTCAATTTATCAAGTGACTACTATATTATGCAATTTCGTAAAATATGATAAAATCAATAAAAACAGAAAAATAAAATGTTTGCTTACGTTTGAATATAAAGTGTCCCCAGTGTTTCATACGCATAATCACATTTAGGATCAATTTTTAATGCTTGTTCAAGGAACTCAAAAGCTTCATTTATTGAACTTTTCCATGATAATACAACTAGAGCTAAAATATAATTTTATTTTTTTATATCATTGAGTTTGAATGACTAATATATATATATATATATATAATACTACTTTTACCTCTGTGTACTAAGAAAGTAGCATTATCTGGATAAATTTCATGAACTTTTTTAAATAATGAATCAGCTTCTTCATAGGCTCCTTTTTCTGATAAAGCCTTTGATAACAGTAACAAATATTTTATATAAATTTCTAGTTTTGTGATAAAAAAACAAACATATATACTTGTGCATATAGTGTATAACTTTCTGCGTGATCTGGATGTTTGATAACAAATTCTTTTAATTTTCTCAAGTATTTTTCAGCATCCAACTCATTAGACATTTGTTTTGCATGAAGATATTGAGCATAACAGCATTGAACACTTGATAACACAAACTTAGGATTCAATTCAACTGCTCTTTTAAATTCTTCAACTGCCTTTTCGCTATTCATTTCAAGTAAATAAATCTAAAAATAAAATTTATAAATTAATTTTCTCTAAATATTTTTAATTTAAAATTATTACTTGAGCTCTATGATGGAAAACTTCAGAATTATTAGGACTAATATTTTCTGCTTTTTTTAAATCTTCAAATGATTTTTCTACTTGCTCTTGTTGATGGTGAACGGCAGCTCGTTTTATTAAAGAATTAACCACCAACTATAGTCAAATAATTTGTTTAAAACTATTAAAACATAAAAGTAGGTAACTAATATTTTGTCAAAATAATCAACTTTTATTTGTATGAAAATTTTAACAAACATAGTTAAAAGTAAATAGAATACACAATATTACACACAAATATTTTATAAAAGTAAATAAAAGTTTATGATTTTTAGAATGTAGAAGATTGATTTTTGTTAAACGTAGTTTAATATTAATTTTAAAAATAATTATTAAGTATGAATGCACACGATACATGAGTATACAAATTTACTGGTTAATAAATTATCAAGTATATTTGAATATTATACCTTGTTTGGAACTCCAGGTGTTTCTATGACAGTGCTAAGATGTTCAATTCCATATGCATAATTACCACGAAGTATGGAAAATGTAGCAAGTAGATTTAACGTCAAAGCTCTACGAATTAAGCTATTGTCGGTCTTATTCAATTCTTCTTTACAAGCTTCTTCAATTCCTTCATACTGTTTATCTCTAATACATTTCAATGCCAACTCCAAACCCGTGCTAAATGAAAATACATAATATTAATCAATTATACATTTAATTATTTATTTATTAAAGCCTTCAACATCAAAGGTCAATAATCTGGTATTGTAGTTTTTGTATTGGTTTGTTTGTGTAATGTACAAGGTTGGGAAGGTTTAGGCAATTTTTCCCCTCTGGGCAGTCGGCCTGTCTAAAAAGTGAAACTGCCGATAAGAGGGTTTAGACCAGTGATTGTGCATTCAAACAATGCCACCTTTTCCTACTCAGCCAAAATCTCCCCTCTGCATGTTTAATATTGTAGAAAACACACTTATTTAAATAAAATTACACAACAGTTATTAACTTATAATATTAAGACAAAAACATCAATATGTAAAAAATGATCAGTAATAATAACATAAGATAACAACTATACAAAATAATGCAAAAGTTATTAAACCACAAAACATGGTATTTCATAAAAATTAACTTACTTTACATCTGATTTCACTAATGTTTGTGGAAATTCATCATTAAATGGATCATCACAAAATGACTTCAGATAATTATCGATGAATGTTTTTGTAGGTAAATTGAATGAATTATTTTTTGTATACTCTTCTAAATTTTGCCTACCTAAATAACATATTATAATATTAATCAAAATACTAAAACAAAAAAAATTATTTTTAAAATTAAAAATTAAAATTATGTTCTGTTAATAAAAATAATATATTACCTAATTTTTTTATCACACTGTCAGCAAAAATGACATCAGTTTGATTTTTAAATTCATCCAACATAACTACAGCTGTAATATCTTCTAAAGCAAGTTTAAAATTTCCCATTTCTGTAAGCGCTCTTGCTCTACGGGATAGTGCCTTTTTGTATGTAGGTACTAAGTTTAATGCTTTATTACAATCAGCCACACAATTTTCATGATCATTCTACAAATTATATACGTTTATTAACAGTTTATTTTCCAAAGAGATATTCAATTACAATAATAACATTAATTACCAATTTACTGTACGCGGCTGCTCGATTTTGAAATACAACAGATAACAATCCTTTTTCTGATCCTGGACACATTGACAAAGCTTGTGTATAAAACATAATGGCACCATCATAGTTTCCTTTAGAGAATTCGTTGTTTCCTTGTTTTTTAAAGTCTTCTACTTGTTCCACTAAAGACTAAAAATAAAAAATTAATCAAAATGGGAAAAAAGGCAAGCATGAACAACAGACAAAATTAAAATATTATGTTTTTTTTATAGAGGTTTCTGTAGAAATTTTAATCTGTAGCTCATATACACTTACCTTAGGGGGAGCCACATTCCGATCAATCCCATTGGTATTAGCTGTTTTTTGAACAACCCCATTGCTGTCATCAATATTGATGACTACACTCCGATCGGCTGCTGCTGAAGTGTTAACAGGTCGACTCTCGTCCGGTTTTTTTGAGTAATAATAATACGTAACGCCTAGACCTACGGCAAAACATGGTACGCAGACGGCCAAGCCGAACTTCCAGTTGGACAGGAAACTGAACGCAGACTCGGAGGAGTCGGACATGATCGCCCTTCGTGTTCAGTAAACGCGGACGGTCAACAGGTATTGCAGACGAATATGTTTACCACATGCCTGACAAAAAGAAAACTTGTCAGCCGGCACCGCGCACGCGGTTCAAATGAGGAAAATGTACGTACGGATAAAACGCGCCAAACGGAATATCACAATTTAATAATAGCAAGCGTGACAACAATATTCATTCGTTGATATATATTGAAATGAATTTTGTTGTACTTGTACTATAGAAACGTAGGGATAAAAATAAATCGAAATGATTATGATTTACGGCGAACAAACGGAATACAAAAGTAAGATCAAAGACTAATAATAATAATAATTGCCGAATAGGGATAAATGTGATACAGCGTGTTTTTATCAGTGGTTCGGAGAGATGATAAGAGAGCATATCTCATTAGATGTCATTTTCACGGAGATCGTATACAAATCTATTTGGTGCCAAATACGATTGCCATTAGTCTATGTGAGATAATGTATTAGGGCCGTCGTTAAGGGTAGGCAGTGCTGGCATTTGCCTAGGGCTTCGCGCTTGTAGGGGCCTTACAATTCCCACTTATGTTTGATAGCAAAATATTATTCAAAATTATTACATTTTTTAGTTTTGTATTGATATTATTTTTTAATCAAATTATACAATGTACATTACAATACTTGTATTTTGAATGATGAAAAACATTATGCTGTTGAGTTTTAAACGTAAATGTCTTGCAGCCAACTTTCCACTAGTGCCAGGTCAATATAACATAAAAATATTATTGCTGTAATTAATGACTAACCAGTACGACAATATGCCGCGTTTTACGCACGTGGATATTAATAGCTGTTAGCTTTATATATTTATCTATATTTGTTTATTATAGTATATTACTATAATATAATTATTAAGTCATTAGAATTCGACGAGTTGTTTCACATTTATATTTCGTCAGCCGCTACAAATGGATCAATATGTAAGCAGGGCTGTGCCTAGAGGGGTGCGAGAGGTGTATGTGCACCGGGCACCATGAACACTGAGGTGCCAAAAGCTTTTTCATAATCTAAGTAATTTTACTAAAAGTTAACTATATTATTTAAATCGAAATATTTAACACGTTTAATGCTATAGTATCGACGCGTAGTCGACTTCATTAACATTGTCTTGATCGGCGGTGTCGATAGTTTATTTTTTAGTATTGGTATTTATTTTTGCCCAGAAATCGGGGAGATAATAAATTACCATTAATATACCATTTATATTCCATTATTATTGTTACTTGATATAATTAATTTAATAACATTAATAGCATAAATGAACATCGGCTTGTACGTTCGAGTTGTACGATTTTATTTTGAACCCGTTTACGATAGTGATCACATCATAGTTCATGAACATAAAAGTTGCAAAGATACCTAATTATTTTTCATCAGCAATTATTTAAAAGTGTAAGTAATTTTTTGTACAATCGAATAAATGTAATTTGTAAATAAATTATACCGGTTTAAAATGAAAAGTTGTTATCTACATGTTTTGTTCTACTTATAAAGTTATTTTTTTTTATTTATAAAGCTTTTGAAAATACTATTAAACTCGACAATTATAATCAAATTTATCGATTAATTATTTAAAATACAATAAATAAAACATATAACATAAAAATATTAAAATAATAAAAGATTATGTATAGGAACCAACCTCGTGAATGAAGGAAATAATTAGAATGAGAACAGATTTTGAAATTTAAAATTCTGAAAGTATTAAATGGGTTATTGAGAGACTAATAAGGATATTGCGTTTGGTAGGTAGAGAAGGACAATCAAAGAGAATATAACATAGAATACAGATTTTTTTCTTCTAAATGGAGTGTACAGAGAAGGGAACAGTGGTGCAACTTAATGATAAGGGGTTCATGTGAACATTTCCAGACTTATGTCATTATTTATTGTTATTATATTAAAATAAGTAATACATTATATGTATATTACAAATTATAATTGGAATATTGTTAGGAACAAAGATGATATGAGAAGATATCTCGAGGCTCCACAAAACCGGGGGTTTCTGTGAATTGTACACCCAATACTCCCGATGATTGCATTACTGGAAGGGAATCATTACGATTTAAGTTGCAAACAAGAATTGGAAGTAACAAAAAAAAAGCTCGTAGCTTTTTTCCTAATATTTCAATTGCTCTCCGAATCATTTTGACGATTCCAGTTACTTCTACAAGTCCTGAGAGATTATTCTCAAAACCAAAGCTTATAAAAACATACTTGAGGAAACAATGACGCAAAACATATTATCTGGATTAGCAATGTTATCCATAAAAAATTAAATGGCTTCTAAACTCAACTTCGACTCAATAATTTATGATTTTGCAGTTAAAAAATCTAGGAAAAAAATGTTATATAAATATTGCGAACTGCTCACTTTGTGAGTTACCTTACGACACAGTTTACTGTTCAATACAATTTTACATAGATTGTAGGATTTAAAATGTATATGAATATAGAAAAAATAAAATAAAGATAATAATTAAATTAGTAGTAGAAAGAAAAAAGAAAAAAAACAAAGATTTCAATCTTGATGATTGTTTGTTATGAATATAGATGATAATTTATTATATGTAAAGTGTCCTGCGGTACGGACAGACATATTTTTTCCAAATTACTTCGCTGCAGGCCGTGGTTCTCGAAGAAGTCCTGCAGGAATTTCGATGCGGTTCCGCGTGCGCCGAACTAAAGCCCAATTACTTCCCACTCTCCTACTCCGTAGAGGTGATTCAGGTTGGGTGTGCACGGCAGGTGTATACCTCTCTTCTTTTCGTGCATATTGATGTCTTGTTGTTCGTTGTTGGTTTCCCCTACGAATCTTGGGGTCTAAGATCATCTTAGGCCTCGTCCGTTCCTTCTGTCTATCACTATAATATCAGCCCTTCTGTTTTGAGTTGCTCCTTCATCGAGTGCTGCACAGCACACTTTTTCGTGTACTTCAAAATTTTTTGCTCTAAATAGGTTGGTCAGGGTGGTACGGACTTTGTGATGGGCATTGTTGCGAAGAAGTTTAGTCTTGGGGCAAGATCCTCGGATGTGGGGCAAGGTTTCAATTATATTATTCTCATTGCAGGCTAGATTCCTGCAATGGGGATTGCCGACACTCCTACCCCTGTTCCTTGGTTAGACATTGAGTTCATCGACGCTTTAATAGCGTTTGTCCATTCACCACTTAAAAGCCCGCCTTTTTTTGATACCCAAGCATTAGTTGTGGTACAACTGCCATACCATAGTACTCCTATTCCCTTTTGCCTCAATTCTTTCCACTTATTGAATTCATCACAGCTTAATTCAGCGTGAATCGCGTGTGGACTTAGGCCGGTTACAGGATCTAAGCGTGCGTGAGACTGTGCTGCTTCATGGCGTAGATCTCGAACTACTAGCAGGTGTGGGTCTTGGATGAGCGCTAACTTTTGGGCGATGGCGGTATGCTGGATAAAAGCCTCCTACGTCACTCTTAACATACCGAGATCCCGATATTTTCTTCCCGTGTAGTAGACCGGAATTGGTGTCAGCGGGGAAAAAAATATTTAATAATAGTTCATAATAATAGTTAATAGTTAAACACTTGCAAGTTTATCACTTTAATTACATTTTTTGTTAAAGAAATTTGTTTTTTCTTTAAATCTTTATATAGTATACATAAAAGGAGATTTCCAGACTGATTGATTTACTATTATCAACTTTGCGTAACTACCTGTTGTACTTAATTCCACTGAGATATTAGGTATAATTACATATTTTTGATCATATAGATGCAGTTTTATAGTCAGGGGGCTATACTCCCTAAATTTTAAACGCTATCCACGCTTTTGATTTTCATAATCTTAATACTATTAGTGATAGGAAATCGTATTAGATTTATTCTACTCGCACAATAAATTATGGGGCCTTGCATTTCGCAATTTAGATATTGCCTAAGGCCTCGCAAATCGTAACGACGGCCCTGGCCGTACAATTCCGGAAAATAAATTGGCGGAACGTATTAATTCCGGAACGTATATCTCCGGAATCAAAAATTCGAAAACCGTGTTCGCCCGGAACGTATTGATCCGGACCGTACTTCTCCAAAACGTATTAATCCGGACCGTATACCACCGAAATCAAAATTTTGAAAACCGTATTTACCTGGACCGTAAATCGCCGGAAAGCAAAAATTTAAAAACGGTATTTGTCCGGAATGTATAATTCCGGAAAGTAAAAATCTTGGGGTCCAAAGTAGATAGTCAATATGTTCGAGAGTATTGTAAATTATCTATATCAAACCCCTTAAAATCGACCGTATAAAGTCTGAGCCCTAAGGTTGGCAGTAACAACAGTGGCAGATTTAAGGAAGGGGCCAGAAGGAGCTTTATGTAATCCATTTGAATTATTGTCAAATAGCAGACTTTGGTGATGTTTCGAAAACATTACAGTATTTTAAATAACTTTTACATATATTCTAAGTACAGTATAGAGATTTTGAATACCTTTTTTAATATTTAATCTTATATTCTATATAATTACTAAAATTAGATTTGTATTATTTGTATTATTTTGTATCTAATTATTTTATTGACTTTTAAATATATTTATTTTTACAAACGATAGATAAATAACCATATTTTTTATAAAATAATGAAATTAAAGAGTTATAATGTAAATGCATAATGTCGTTCCTGAATAACAACCAACTTTATGAGCTTTCAATTCATCAGTTTAAGTTCATAATTTTTTTTATCATTTTTTCCATGTTATTTAAACCTTAAAAAACTTAAAAAAAAAATTTGCCTTGAAAAAAAAATCATGCATTGTAGGGCTAAAGTATCCTTAAAATACGGTAATTTAATATTTAGTGAATATTTTTAACTTAATTTAATACTAAATTTTTTTATAAATTTATTCAACTCTGCAATCTTTTTTATCTGCGAACTCGCAAATAAACATAGATGACGGCTCGAAAATTATTGTCGTGGACCCAGTTTCAATAGTCTCTATAATTGCGACTTACTCTCTCTGGCCCTCTTCATTCAACAAGCCGAAGCATCATATGGTTGAACCTATAGGGGGAGTCAGTTTTCACTGAAACGACGATCGTCATCAAAATAACTAAAATAGTATTTCCATCGAAATAACTATTTATAGGTTTTAGATTTTGTGGCCTTCAATTTATAATAATGAACAAAGATATTTGCTAGTTTTTAATTATAATTATAAGTTGTAATTATAAATATAAAATTTAAAATCCACTGGGTTTAGATACAGTCTCCTTATCCCACTCGACTACAATCTATTTAGTCTATAAATATTATAATTCGTATACAACTACTGTAATGTACCTACGTAGTTTGTGAAAATATTCATTGGAACTATACGGAGATAATAAAGCCAGTGTAGTATTCAATAACTGTTGCCACCTGCAATCCAAAGCAAAGGTCCAGACCGTTCAGAGGTGCTTGTAGCGTTTTGTTTCTGACGGTCTGAGGCATAGAATGGAAAATTCTAGAAATTCCGAGTAGCTTCGAGACTAAACGATCAGTGCGAGTAACATACCGTTATCAACAGCGGTCGATAATGATAACGTGTTGATATGCGCACTGGTCATCGTGTGTGCGACAAGAAGACCGAAAAATACCGAGTACTAACGATACGATTTCTGGAAAAAACGGTTAACAGTCAATCGGTGCCGGTCGTCCTCGGTCTACACCTCTGACGTTCTCCGTTCTCTCCGTCTCCGTCTTCTTATCCCGTTTTCCCGATCAGTGCTGCAGAAAGACGTACGCACGTCAACTTCTCTCGAACCAAGTACAAGACCGTTTGATGTTCCCGGCACGGCCGCCGAGCTCGCGGTCAACCGACGAATTGTGCTAACGGAACTAGACGCTGTTGCTGGCGGTTGCGGTCGACCGTCCGACGCGTCACCCGTTACCAGTAATCTCAGAGTCAGTTGTGGACGGAGGAGACGTCACCACAGCAGCTGCCGATTCGCCCCGTATCCCGGAGCTGGTGGCCAAACCACAGACGTGACTATGTTCAAATGGGGATATCCGTTGCCCGATGGTGGTGTGGCCGGCCGTGGCACTAACACCACCACCACTAGTAGTACCATGCTCCCTGGGTCCATTGTGCCGCCGCCTCCACCACCTCAGATGAATCATCATTCAACTAGTTTTACTACATTCACGCCATCCGACTTTCAGCAGTTTCCCTATACTTTTTCTTCCGTCTCTCCACCTACATACAGTTGGGCTAATACCAATAGCACAGACGTTATGAAGTATGTCATTCAGTCATGGGTATTGTTACCTCAGCAGCAACAATACTCATTGTTTTCTTTTTACTTTTAGGTTCACCGGAACGAGTAACCCATTGCCCCTGGACACATCTTCTTATCGGCCCTGTAACTTTGGATCGGTTCCAAAGCGAAAAATCGATTTGGATGCAGAGTAAGTTTTTTTTTGTGACTACCTATATATACTGGCTAAGGTAATTGATAGACCTAGAGATTTTCTAAAATAACTTATAATATATATATGTATTTCTTATGTTACCAATTGTTTATGAAGTACATAAACTAGTTTCTTTGATTATGAAAACTATCAATAAATTATTTTACAAATGTTTGTGTTAGAACATACATTTTTACTTTTCTTTGAGGTAACATGAGTATTTTATTTACACATCTTATAGGTGCCCTTTTGTCTAATTATTGTTCAAAAAGATTTTTTTCATAATTTCAAGTTTTCAATTTTGACATGAACATTAAGGACTATATTTACTTATTAAATTACAATATTCTATAACTAACCAAGTTAGCATGTTAGTCAATGCTAATTAACTTGCTAAGAGCTTTTATTTATTAGCTAATAATAGCAACATTTACTGCATTATTCTATATATATATATTTTGATTTAGTTTTAAAACCATCAATATTTTATAATTTAGTTGAATATAATATATGCAACATAATTTTTAGTCATTAAAAAAAAATGTTGTGTTGATTGTTACTACAGATTTTGTTGGGTCTGATTAGTTATAAGATCAATAGCATTGATGGCCAGCAGGGATTAATAATGAGTTATAATACCTCCCCCTGAAATGTCTCTCTTATTTTATAAAATATACAATTATTTTAAGACAGGTATAATGTTATACTATCATTAAACAATTTTCATAGTTTCAATAAACTTAAAACACATTTCTTATTTAACCTTATGTTTAATTAACTTATTAAAAAAAAAAAGTTGATACTTATGTAGGAAAGAATTTAAAATTTTTCTAGCTATGCCATTAAATGAAATAATAAGAATTTTGTATTTCTAATAATATTGTAATTATACAATTATTGTCATTAATTAACCGAACAATTTTTTAATTAATTTTGTCAGGTTCTTGAATCATTTATATTGCTATTCTTTTAGACTTCCACAGCCTCCCAAAATGCGAATAACAGAGGAAAAAGTATCTGCCAGCTTAAGAGATATGCACATTAGCAATGAATTTAAAACTCACAACTATTGTGTTAACAGTAATGTCAGTGATATGGATGTAAGTAAATATGTGTTGAAAATATTAAGAATACAATTTTCTTCATCATTTTTGTTATAGACAATAGAGAATAATTCAAGTGCTATGAATATTGTACCCATTGAAACGACCAAAACAGAAGCTCAGACTACATTAGTTATGTGTGAAGAATTACGAAAACTTAACAAAATTGATTCCATTGTACCTCAACCATTTCTTAGTGTGTAAGTTAATAAATAAATTATTAATTGTTATTATTTTTCAGTATTAAAATTTATATGTATTAATGATATAGAGAACGACCAACTAAAGCGGTTGTTTTGTGGAAACCTAAGCCTATAGTGGAAGTAATTCGTTCATATTCTGATTATAATACACCAAAGTCCACGGTAGTCATTACTGAAATCACTGATGAAGAAGCAATAAATAATGAAGATGAAATGTTCGTCGAAGAGGATAAGTGAGTTGAATATTTTAACTGTTTATAGTATTTTATTGTATATCAATTGGTAAAAATTGCCCACAATGTATTAACACATTAATAAGCCCAATTTTTTTACAGTATATATCGTAATTTTCTATCAATTAAAAAGCTATAATCATTTTCACTGCTTATTTGTTCTTAAGTTTGAAAATTAATTTATTACGATTAAGTATTAAATTATTGTTAATTTTGTTTTTAAGTTTTTGGGTTATAAATAGTCACTCACTGACTTATAGGATTTAGATATTAATCCAGTATAACTATTAAAATATTTAGGTATGTATGCTCTTTAATTTAAATCTTTGTAATATTAAAATATGAGTTGAGATATTCCATAATTTTTTTTATTTACCGAATAAAAAAAGATATCTTGCAATATAATTATATTTATATATTTTAAAACAATATTAAATAATAATAATCTTATTGGGTTTATTATTAAAAAACTAAGGTTTAAAATGGTAATATTTTTTTTTTTAATATTCAAAAATTTAACATTTGAGAATCAATCATACTGTTGAGATATCAGTGAAAATTAAATAAATATTTTTTCACAGTTACTTTTATAAAATTAATTTTTTGATATTTTAATGATATGTAAATGTATAAACTTCAGGACTTATAACTAGTAAAATCCCATTGTACATACATTTTAGATTAAAATAACTAGTTAACATTTTTATAGCTGTTTGAATAACTATATTTTTTTACAAAATAAAATATTATATTTGTTATTTATTACTTATTGCTAGGATTAGAACAATTATGCACTAAAATTAAGCACATAAAGTAGCAAAATTATATAAAAAAAAAAAAAATGCTTTTTAAACATTAATATGTTAAAATTTAGCCGAATATTATTTTTAATATCAAAAAATAACCTTATGATCACATTTTCATATGTTCAAATAAATTCATTCTTAGAATACCAAATACAAATATACATTTACTTAAATACTTAAATGTTAAGTACCTGTTAATATAATATTTCACTATGTACACAAATGTCTACTATATAAAATAATTTAATTATAAAAATATTTAAGCAGGTGCTAGTATCTAGTAATTGTTACGGTTTCTTAGCCACAGCAGTTGGCTGCAACTGATCGTTGTGTGTGTAATAATTTCTTACATACGACTGAATACTGTATCTGGCATTTATTTTCGGTTTAGTTCAGCTCAATATTTCGTTGTGAACACGCGTATTTTTATGCATATTATTTTAGTTGTGTACACACATATTTTTTTTTTTTAATTTATTATTACAAATAACTAAAAATGGAGCAATAAATTATAAGTAATAATATAGTTCATTGTTAGTTGTCAGTGAATAGTTTTTGATGTTTTTCGATTAAATTAATTCATTTATAAAAATATATAATAAATTTGTTCAGAATAAGATCACCATGTGACGCGCTCAATACACTGCCTCCAGAGCACTATGATTGTTAAATGCAACAATTATTGTATTAAACACATACATCGATCGGATGTTAGAAGGCATTTATTTATAAAACAATCAGTCGTGCGATCGTTGCGGCAATTGCAGCTTGGAAATTGTACCTTTATAAACAAGATTTAAGGTGCATTGTTTTAATTTTTATATACAGTTATTATTGAGTAGGGTCTCTCGTAGGTGAGTGGGTAGGTATTGAAAAATATACTTTACTCTGAAAATATTTTAGTTCGCTACATTACTAGTAACAGATTTTAATGATGTGAACATTTTTGTTGCTTAAAATTCAAGATGGATTTAGAATTTTTAATTTTTCAAGCAGATTTTGATTCTTTTTGTTATTATATAGCAATTAGTTAATTTATTTAAAAGCACAAGGGCTAATAATATAATTTACCGTTTATAAAATATTTTTTACCATAAAATATAACTCAAAAATCACAAATAACCAATGAAGTCTTAAAATAAATTGGATCAAATAGATTTTATTTATAAAAATATAAATAATATTTAATTATCTATTAATTTAAAAAATAATATATTTGTTATATGTTATAAATAGAATATTTTTTATGACTGAAATGTGCCCTTTTAATTATAACGCAAAATATATTATTAAAATTCATCGGCTTAGGTAGTTAAGATAATATTTTGAGAGTTAAAATATTAAACATTATGTTTAAATTTGTCTAATATAAATTTATATATAACCCATTAGAATTATTGATTAGGTAAGGTTATTCATTTTTCATAAAATATAATAGTACCAGATTTAGGGAAGGTAAGTGGGTATGCGCTTGCCCTAGACACTGTTGGTATAAAGGCGCTCTTCTTGAGTTAATGAAAAATAAAGTCATAAACATACACTGTACTTCCAACTATGTTAGGGTCCTGCATTTTTATTAGCTCCGGCATTGACATTAGTATGTACGTTGTATAGGAAATTATATAAGTAGTTTAAAGAGGAAATTGTTGGTTTATAGAACTTTCAACACTAACTATAAATAATTATTTTTATTTATTGTCAAATGTATTATACAAGTTTTTAAGTGGACAATATTGAGTTATAAGATCCGAAGAAAGTTCTGGAACATCATACAAGCAAATTTTCTTATTACCTACACAATCATTAGTTATCCTAAAAAACTTTTTTATATAATGTAAAATAAGTGTTTAATAATATTCAATACAACATTTTCAGCACTATCCCCATCGATGATGATGAAATGGAATTATGATGGAACTTGGACATATCACAAACAATCCTTAAATTTTTGGACTCACGGGAGACGAGTTAATTTACTGCCAAACAAATAAAATTTGGAAAAAATAATAATTAATATAAATAAGTTTACGTTTTCATAAGATTTTTTTTTAATTTTAAATAGTTGTAAGAAGAAAAATGTATATATATATATATTTTTTTAAATGTTAAGTGTGAGATATAATTAGGTAATTAATAATAATTATTTTGTAAAATGTATTACTTATTTTAACATAAATATTTTTTTGTAAATGAGATAGTGTATGATACTTTGGCTGAACAATAAAAATATGTTATTGGATATTATATACATTATGATTATGGTTAAACTCATATTATTAATCACTATGTATTATTTTTGTAAATAAGTCTCAAAATCAGTGTTATGAAGAAAAAAATAAAGTGGCGTATGTTAAAAATAATTTGTTAATACTACGGAAAGAAATGTGCGGGAAGTGTAATTAGGGGAGCAGACACAATTTTGATGTAATCAACACATGTATTATATATATATGTTATCATACATATTTATATTACATAAAAAATAAAATTAAAATAATAATAAATAATTAAATTTAAGTATTTCATACTTACAAAAGTGTAATAACTTATTGTAAATAATAATAAAATTAATTTGTAACAAGAAAACTCATACCAATATTTAAGATCTTTGGCTATTATGAATATTTCTTACACAATCCATTAATTTATTATGACTAGTAAGTCATTGGAAAATACATGTATATTTTTTTCTTGCAATTGTATGCAATTTAAATTTTATTTTATTAATAAACAGCAACAATAAAAATATAATTATCATGTTCAGATATACCTATAAAAATAGATTCTAATTGTATTAAGATTAATCAAATAATATTTCAACTCAAATGCACATATGAAACGAAAACACAATATAATTAACTACATAATTGTCATACGCCACTTATGTTAGTGTCATGAAGGGGGGTATTTTCTTGTTACTTACTATTTAAAATACTTAATAATGATTCTTATTACCATCCTGGTGTGGTGTTGGCTAATCGCCGCATACGCCTGGAATAAATACAAATATTGGTATTAGAATTAAATAACATAAATAATTTGAAAATAATTATAATTAAGTAATTATATTATAAAGTAGGTCCTTGCCTAGTATTCCTGTCCTGATCTCTGATCTTCTTCTCCATCTCTGCATCAGTTAAAGTCTCTAAAAATGGACTCCATTGATCAGCATCAGATGGAGGTCGAAATGGAGTTTCAACCACTGACAATGGTGCCTCACTAATCAAAAGTAATAATAACAAAATTTAACAAGTCTAGTAGAACAATTTAAAAAGTCTTACCTAAAAGCATAGGTACGCTGATGCCAGCTTAACTGTCCTCTGATAGAGTATGCTATTGCTGTTACAAATTCACCACCAAGACCAAGTTCGGCACATAATTTCATGGCAAATTGTTCAGGTGAATTGTCTTTTTCTCCCATATCCCATTCCACTTGGTCCACTAATGATGTATTACCTACATGAATATTTAACTGGAAAAAACAGAAAATAATATTTTAATATTTAAGATTCGTATTAAACAATAAAATACAATTGTAAAAACATACATACTTTTATTATTACTCTTTGATCATGTTGTTCATCTAATATATTATCATTATGAAATGCTTCAATTTGCTGGCGTATAGATTGTGCAATGGCTGGTACAAAAGGTAATGGGTTTAAATCTAAATCATCACAGAGCACTTCAGCAAACTGTTCTGGAGTTATTAAACTTTCTGAAATCAATCAAACTATTTGTCAAAACATACTAATACATTTAAAAATGATTGATTGCAATTCAATTGTTAATATACCGTTCTTATTCCAAGTAAACGTATCTCTCAATTTTTGTCCTTCAATTTCCATATCAAGTCTGATAGGAACTAACAGCTCTGAAAAATTGGCATTCTCGTGAATGTTTGCCGGTTCTGTATCATCATAGCTGAGATAACAACAAAATTAAAAGAATATGTATAATAAATAGGGTTCAAGTTTGAAGGCAATATAATCAAGAAAAAAGCATTTAAAATGTGGAAAAAGGTTAAAAAAGGTATTTAATTTACATAAAAAAAGCAATTAAAAAAATTATTTCAAAATTAAATAGTCTAACTAGTTAGTAATAAAAAAAATTCACTATCATGTTCTTAGATAAACTATCTTTAGTAAAATGTTGACGGTTTGGGCTTAAAATATTATTGCATATAGAAAATGATTTTTCGATGTTCACTGAAGTTATTGGGCAGTAATTCATACATAAATAATTATTAAATTAAGAATACTAATAATTAAAAACATACCATAGACCAGTGTTTCCCAACTAGTGTTCCGCGGAACCTAAGGGTTCCGTGAGAAATTTGGGAAAATATAAATTAATTAGCAATATTTTGATTTGAACATAGAACTCAATATAAAACTGGAATTGACACATTTCCCGATGTGTGGTGCGTAGTTTGTAGCTTTTCGGCGTATACAAAGACTAAGAATAAGTTTCAAAATCAACTGAACGCGGCTTCGGACTTACGAATCCAACTTTCAGGAATAACTCCAAATTTAAAAACAGTTATGAAAAGATTCCAATCTTCTCATTGAATCTATCTTAGAGGTAATGAGATATAAATATTAAATTTTAAGCTTTGATATGTAAGAGTACATTTATAATATTATAATAGTAATAAACAAAATAAAATGTTAAAGCCGTCTTGTTTTTTTTATATTAATGACACTCTTGTGCCGGAAGTGTCCGGTAACCCACTCATTTAAGTATAGAAAACATATGTCTGTATTAATATTATAGAAAAAATATTGGGGTTCCACAAAACGTTCAATCTCCTGCTAAAGTTCCACGGGTAAAAGAAGTTGGGAAACACTGACATAGACAATGCACCATCTTCACAAGCTCTTATTGATTTATACCGATAATACCTAAGCTGTGTAAAAAATTATTAAATCAATTGAAAATCAAACACAAAAAATGTATTTATAAGTAAAAGAGCAAAAAGGTATTTATAAGAAAAAAAAGGAAACAAAAATACATCTATTATATTGGATAGTAAATGAAACATATTTTTATTATTATTAAAAAAAAAGGCTTTTGCCTTCAAATCAGAACCCCTAATAATAATAATAATAATTCAACCATTGTTAGGTACTTACCATAGTGGAAATGTTCTGACTTTTTTTTGTATAATCCTATTGCGGTTAATAGGTGTAGCCTGAGGAACAGCATCTAAATGAGAACTGTTTGGTAATGATGGAACCCATGGTACTGACTTTTTTCCTTTAGATTCTCTAAAATTTGAACATGTGTTCTTATTAATATTTTGTTACCTTGTATTATTTTATGTCATATAACAGTTTACTTTAAATATATTTCTATTAAAAGCTGCAATATTACATATAAATATTAAAAATTTCATAGGATTTTTTTAAAAAAAAAGAGGTGTTCGTTTTGGAATAAGTAAATCATTAACTTTCATAATTTTTAGGAATCCACAATTGTAATGTAGTTAACAATAAAAATAAATGAATTTGATTAAACTATCCACCACAATCGTTACAATAGTTCTAGTAACATTTTAGGATTCCTATTCAAGGTATGCAATTGTAATAAAATCTAAAAAATTCAGAGAAGTGAAAACACGACTGAAAAGAAAAAGTTTTAACCATGCATCACTGTGGCTTTAGTAAACGATTATTTAATAATAATAGTAAAGGTAGTGTATAATCATTAAATTCCAAAGTGAACCACTAGAAAAAATTTGTAAAATATGCACATAATTGAAAAATTATCAATATATTAAAAAAATGATAATATTTCAACATATTGTATGTATACATATAATTCTACAGACTTCTTTAAAATTATATCTTTATTATTCAGGTAAAATAACAATAAATAAAATACTTAAATACAATTAATAATACAGTAATTCAATATTTCTTTATTAGCTACATGAATGATAAACTTCATATTTTGTATTAAATAATTTGGCTACGCTAATGTATATTAGAAAAATTAATATAAAATGTGTACAATACTTAAATTATGTATTGAGTTAATAAAATTACTGTGATTAGTTACACTTCATTTGAGGTTCATCAAGTATCTTTCCTGTCAATTGTAGAATTTTTATCTTAAAATATCTTTTTTGAGTAGAAGTCATAGATTTCATATCTGATAAGATGCTCCTTAAAAAAAACATATCCTCATCTTCTTTGAAGACATCTAAAAATAACGAACTCATATTTTTTGAACCAATATGTTTTTTTAATTCAATAAGAGACATTTGATTTGAAATATTTTGATCGTATAATTTGGGTAAACTTTTAGATGCTTCATTAACAGATTGTGAAACAATATGTCTTTTTTTATTGACATGAAACCTTTGATTTAAACTTGATGATAAGTCCGATTGAATGGAACTTGGACTTGAAGAATCTTGACTATTTACATTAGGTAAATCTAATGATTCACTATCATCATCATCTGAATTAATACGTCTTTTTCTATTAACACAACTTTGATTTGAATTTGATGATAAGTCTGATAAATTGGAACTTGAATTTGAACAATCTCGATTATTTACATTAGGTAAATTTAATGATTTACTGCCATCATCATTTGAATCAATATAT